AAAAATTAAGCAAAATTAATGAATATGTTCTTATAATAATTAAATTATATTTTTGTATTAATTCTAACTTATAATTTTATAGATTTATTAAAACAAACCAAATTGGTTAACAAACAATAAGAAAAAGAATGTAGACAAGAACATTTGTCCTACGGTGAAGGTTCTTATAAAAAAAATACTAAAAGCAACCTTAACAAAAGTCTCAAAAACCATAATTATATTACTATTCAAACAAATATTACCTTCCTCTCCTGATTAAATCAATGATTTTTATTGATAGAATATATAAAAAAAACATCATTTCTCTCTTTTATATATATATATATATATATATATATATATATGTATAGGAAAAGTTCAAATGAGAATGGTACCATTTTACAAGAATGCAAGAACACCTGAAAACATTCAATAAACACATGATGGATAGGGGCGACACTTGTGGACAATAATAAACACATGATCGGCAATAAACAATGAACACTTGAGACATACAATAAACACATGATCGGCAATAAACAATGAACACTTGAGACAGACAATAAACACATGATGGACACGTGAGAATACCTGAAACGTGAATGATATCGCATGTGACCGTCACCTGCTTCAAGTGTTGCTCATTATCGTAAAATAATCCATGATCAGAGTAGGAAAACATGAGAATAAATCTCAACCTCTGGTTATGGTTGTAATTAATTTAGTCCATAAGGATATGAAATTAATTTATATTTTAAGAATTAATAATTTGAATCCATTAAAAATCTAATTAGATTTATTTATTTTTGGATTATAATTAATTCATGATTTTATATTTTTCAATGATTTGCTTTCACTATTTTTTTCCATTCATGATAAGATTTTTCTAACAATTTTTTTCAGTATCACATATGATATTCATAATCAATCTACATGTTTTTTTTTTATAAATTTTCACCATTTTTTACTAATTTGTTTTCATGATTTTCAAGATCCTCATTATTACTTCCACGTTTTCAATCACATGTAATCTGCTGCATATCAAACGTGATCCAATCAATCACATCTGATTGGCAACACAAAAACTATTATGCTAGAATATCATTTGTGATTAACAAAAAAAAACATACTTAGACCATCGACAACCGAAAGTGCTACAGGTAACACTTATACTAAATTTTAGAACTCATATTTTCACTACTCACCAGAATAACATTGATCATCATCGACTAATGTGTGCAAAGTTATAGTACTTTTGTATATGTTATCATTTTTAATATATATTTAATTCGTTTATTTTAGTTACTTATTTATATTTTTATATTTTATTTAACTATAATATTTTTTATATTAATTAGTTTTACTAAACTGGTTATATATATATATATATATATATCTATCTATACTATCTTATAAAACATTTGGCTAAAACTCTTAAAATTCTTAAAAACTCTTAAAATTCTTAAAAACTCTTAAACCCGTTCATCCCTATCCGATTTCATCCCATATCTGAATTCGTGTAACTAACTGCAGATAAACACAATCAAATACAGGATAAACATCTCAATTAAATATAAAAAATCTAAAATATAATTAGTATAATCATTAAATTCTAACAGAATACTTAATTATTATCTTTATAAAATTTATAATATTAAACCAAAAAAAAATTGTATATTAAAAAAATATTTTATATTATAAATCATTTAACAAAAACTCTTAAAAAACATTTTTTATGCGTAAAGTACTGTTTATTAATGTATATTACTTAAAACTCAAGATTACAAGTAATTGTGCATATGTACAACTTATTAAAGCTTCATATATGAATTCGTATAACTAACTGCAGATAAATACAATCAAATATAGGATAAACATCTCATTTTAAATATAAAAAATCTAAAATATAATTAGGATAATCATTGAGTTCTAACAGA